CCAGAGGTTCTCAATCGGATTTAAGTCTGGTGACTGCGATGGCCACTCCAAAATGTTCCAGCCTTTCCTCTGCAACCATGCTCTAGTGGACTTGGAGGTATGCTTGGGATCATTGTCCTGTTGAAAGGTCCAACGTCTCCCAAGCCTCAGGTGTGTGACGGACTGCATCACGTTTCCATCCAATATCTCCTGGTACTGAAGAGAATTCATGGTACCTTGCACACGCTGAAGCTTCCCTGTACCTGCAGAAGCAAAACAGCCCCAAAGCATGATTGACCCTCCACCATGCTTCACAGTAGGCAAGGTGTTCTTTTCATCATAGGCCTTGTTCTTCCTCCTCCAAACATAGCGTTGATCCATGGGCCCAAACAGTTCTAATTTTGTTTCATCAGTCCACAGAACACTATCCCACAACTTTTGTGGTTTGTCCACATGGCTTTTGGCATACTGCAGTCGACTCTTCTTATTCTTTGGAGACAGCAAGGGGGTACGCCTGGGAGTTCTGGCACGGAGGCCTTCATTACGCAGTGTGCGTCTTATTGTCTGGGCTGAAACTTCTGTACCCACATCTGACAAATCTTTTCTCAGTTCCTCAGCAGTCACACGGGGACTTCTCTCCACTCTACGCTTCAGGTAGCGCACAGCAGTCGAAGTCAGCATCTTCTTTCTGCCACGACCAGGTAGCGTTTCAACAGTGCCCTTTGCCTTGAATTTGCGAATGATGCTTCCTAAGGTGTCTCTTGGTATGTTTAACATCTTTGCAATCTTCTTATAGCCATTGCCCTTCCTGTGAAGAGAAATCACCTCTTCTCTTGTCTTCCTGGACCATTCTCTTGCCTTCACCATGTTTGTAACCACACCAGTAAATGTCTAGAAGGAGCTGAGTATCACAGTCATTTTAAAAGCTGCCTAATTGGTGCTTATTATGCTTGATTGCTGCTCGGTGACATCCACAGGTGTTTTCAATACCTGATGAAAGCACCTGTATGAACCTCTGTTCTTCAGAGTGGTAGTCTTTAAGGGGTTGAATAATTGTGGCAATGAAGAAACCACATAAGAACCATTTACTACTGTATTACATAAACAATTGATGTCATTTTAGTTGCATTTGGGTAGTTACAACGTCCTTGTAGGATTTGATTCTGAATACAATTCCAAATGTACACTATAGTCCCTAAACCCCTTTACAGCATTGGGGGTTGAATAATTTTGGTCACAACTGTATGTGGCCAGTTTAGCTGCAAACAGTGCTTAGTGCAGATTGTTAGAACTGGATCAGTGCCTAATATTGAGTCTTAAAATGAAACTAAACCTTCCTTACCTTTACAGCCAAGGAAACTGCCATCTTAGCCTCTGTTTGGCCTGCCGTTAGCATGGTGCTTCATATGTTATAAAGCTATGACAGCAACCATTTGATGGCTTGAAAGTTCGGTTAAGAGTTAAAAAGGATAAGTTCACCTTTCGTAACATGTTACATTTCACACCCATATTCAGGGTGTAACAATCAGACAGGCCCCCTGCTCCCACAGCTGGTGGGGATCTTCTCCCCCCTTGCTGTCAAATTTAAAAACAAAAACACATGGCCATGCGGGCCTCCGCCCACAAGGCCACATGATTCATTCACAGTCATCTGTGAAAGAGACTAAAAGTCCCAGCAGCTATCAGCTTGTAGTCCTCAATGGACAACCACGGTTCTGAAATGCACCATGGTAGTTCATTCATTCTTCCTGTCAGTATATCTGATTGCTCATACATCCTGTACAAGCAAGCAGATATACTGACAGATCTGCAGGAGACCTGCATGGCACCAGTGATCTGATTTTTTTTTTTTTCTTTTTTTTTTTTACAGGTTTACAGGCTATTGCAGACAAAAATGCAAATTTTTTTACCTGCAAAAAAATGTGCATTTATTATTTTGTTTTTCTAAAAAGGTGAACTTATTTAACATAAGCACACTAGTAACTAACCATTTTCATTCAAGGCATGTCCTAAATCTACCCTTATTAGGAAACCATTAAACAAGCAGGATCATTAAAGTGAAACTAGACCCACAGTTTTAAAGTGTTCAGTCATTTTTGTGCAGAGGATTATTGAACACTGTCCCACATCTTAGCAAATAAGATTGGTGAGAACCATAAGGTGTAACCTTCATTTAGTGGTGCACCGAAATGAAAATTCTGGTGCCAAAACCGATACTGAAAATTCAGAATGCATGTGACCGAACTGAAATGTGTGCGTATGTGAGGGTGGGGAGGCGCCAATTTTTTTTGTATTTTTTTTCTACTTTCATGTATTATTTTTATTTATTTTTTTAACTTATGATTTTATTGCTATCACATAGGGGACCAACAGTCCCCTATGTGATAGCATATGAGTGACAGGTCCTCTTTGTAGGGGGGCAGTGTGTGCAAGGAGGGGGTAGGAGAGGAGCAGTGTATACAGTGAGGGAGCAGTATATACAGAGAGGCTCCCTCACTGGCTGTCATATGTCGGTGTCGGTTCTTAAATTGCCGCCTTTTTTTTTTCCTTCACTATAGCTCACAGAACTAGCTGTCACTTTCCCCAAAGCTAAAGGAAACTTTGTGTCTTTTAGCTGGGGGGAAAGTGACAGCTAATTCTGTGAGCTATAGAGAAGCAAAAAAAAAAGCCAGTAATTACATTTAAAATTTGGGACTGACATTTAGACAGCCAGTCACTGTATACACTGCTCCTCTCCTGCCTCTCTCAGCCCCCCCATCCCCCCTTACATCTGCAGTACACACAGTCCCCCGTATCGGCTAAATCTTTCTGATCGGCAAAATGCCGATAGGGCTATTTTCAGCCGAAATTTCAGTGCATCCCCACCTTTGTTTTTTAAGGTTCTTTTAATTTAATGAAACATTTCAATAGTATTTATGCAGAGCTGCCACCAGAGTAGGAAACAAGGGAAAATACGTGCGGTAGAGAGCATCTTAGCTTTTCACATTTTATGTAACAAAGTAAGAAAAATAATGAATGCATTTTTATTGCTGCATCTCTGAGAGATTGTCCTTCACTTCCTATAAATGGGCTCTAAATATTTTATGTGCACAGCATGCAAGAGAACAAATGTGCTTTGCTTTGAAATTAGCTATGCTATCATACAAAAGAGTATTCTTGATCTTCTTTTGATTAAAGTGGTATTAATATTAAAGCCAAAAATGTCATACTGTGTGTAATTAATATATATAACATTTTTATTTATTTTCTTTTGTTTTTACCTGGTGATCTGGCCAGTAACACACCTTTTGATTCAGAGTGCCTACACTCTTGTTGAATAAGCACAGAGGACACAGCAGACAACAGCATTGTCAGTGTGGGGGGAGGGAAGTGTTAAAATGACTAGCAGATTTAGATGCACTAACAAACTGAAGACAAACCTCAACTCACATTGCAGTTGTGCAACAGCTATTTTTTTCCTTTTGGGATAAAGGCTTTACATGAGTAAAGAAATGCTGATCATTGTAACCACCCCTGTCAGTAGTAAATGGTTTGTCTGAACACTCTGCTGTATTTTCAGGAGAGTTTGTTTTGTTGAAAAGAGACTTACTGGCAGGATCACCAGGTGAAAATAAAGGAAAGAAAGCCTAAAAAAGAAAATTAAAATGCAGGAATCACTTCTAAGTACTGGTAAGCTGTAAAATAATAAAGATTTGCTTTTGGGTTTAATACGGCTTTAACCGCTTTCCCGCCACCCTATAGCAAAAATACTGCTGCAGGTGGCACAAAATAAAGTATATATATACGTGTGATTTTACATCTCCGGGTAGGGGGCACACGTGCCCTACCCAAGCCACCATTGGTGGCCTCAGCTATCGATTACTGGGTCCCAGTTGGCGATTCCCCGCAGCACTCTGTGATCGCGGAGTATCACCGACCGGGAAGAGACCTGTATGTAAACAATACAGATCTCTCCCTTGTTAGCTCCTGCACATTGCTTTGTATTGCTCTGCATAGCAGAGCAATACAAAGGAATGTGCTGACACAGTGAAAGACACACACACACACACATCATATAGTAAAACAGCACAGTTAACCCTTTGATCACCCCAGATGTTAACCCCTTCCTGCCCAGTGTCATTAGTACAGTGTCAGTGCTTTTTATTAGCACTGATCACTGTATTCGTGTCATTGGCATGTCAGTGGCAGTTAGTTCCCTCCCAGTGTCAGAACGCCCGCCGCAGTCCCGCTATAAATCGCTGATGGCTGCCATTACTAGTATTACAAAAAACAAAACAAAAAAGCTTAAAAAAAAAAATTCCATTGTATATACCACCATTTGTAGACATTATAACTTTCACGCACCAATTAATTTACATGTATTGTTTTTTGCAGACATGTAGAAGAATACATTTTGGCCTAAATTTGATTTAACATTTTTTTACTCTATATGTTTAGTAGCAAAAAGTAAAAAGTATTTTTTTTCCTCAAAATTGTTGGTATTTTTTTTGTTTAAGGCGCAAAAAATAAAAAAATGCACAGGCGATCAAATACCACCAAAAGCTCCATTTTGAGGAGAAAGAAAAAAAAAAAAAAAGACAATTTCATTTAGGTGCAGTGTGGCATGACCGCACAATTGTCAGTTAAGGTAACGCAGTGCCATATAGCAAAAAATGTCCTGGTCAGGAAGGGGGGGTAAATACTCTGCAGGGCAAGTGGTTAAACTGTGTGTTTGCAGTTGAAGTCTTGTAAACAATTGTCTGCAGAGGCTTCTGAAATACCCAATTCAGTATCAATTCAAAGAACCTGATCTACAGAGCACAAAAAAGAAAAAAAAACTTTTCAATGTTAAAAGTTAAGTTTATTAATTTAAGCAGGAACATTAATGTTTATAAAAATCAGTCCAACAAACCATTTAATGTTATTTTAACAGTACACATTGAACGCTTTGCTGCAAGTCAAACAGCAAAATGTTTGGCCATACCGATAACATCTCTACTTTTGTCTTTTTAGATATTAAAATGACTTTTAGGCAAAATTGTTCAAGGCTCTGCTTTCAGTTGTTCTTCAGTGGCAGCGGCTTTTAGTTCCTGATTGTACCTAAAACAAGAAATAAAAGAAAATGAGTAAATCCATACCCTTACCCTTGGAATACGCTTGCCGTACCCTTCTTGGAATCCTGCAGTATGTCCATGCCACTTCATTTTGTAAAATTATCATGCAGTATATTTTTTCCAAAAAGGACAGTAATTAGCTGGTGTGTAAACTGTGGTTAACAAATTAGGACCACACCTGATATCTTAAAGTGGCTGCAAAGGCTCTAAGTTTTTTACCTTCATGCATATTATCTGTGTGCAGCAGTGCCCTCGGCCCACTCAATACTTACCTGAGCCCCATCACGATCCAGCGATGTGCACAACAGCCTCAACTGTCCCAGGTCTCTACCTCCTAATTGGCTGAGACAACAAGCGGGAGGCTTTAGCTGCCGCTTCTGTCAGTCAGCCAATGAGGAGAAAGGAGGCGGGGCCAAGCCGAAGCTTCATGTGTGAATGAATACACAGAGCATCAGCTCAGGAACATGCCTTCTTGGGTGCACCTGACAGAAAAGTAGTCAGGAGCACCGACAGGGGACACGAGAAGAGAAGGATCTGGGTTGCTCTGCCCAAAACCACTACACAGAGCAGGTAAGTACAGATTTTTTTTTTTTTTTTGTAAAAAGAACCTTCAGCATCGCTTTAAAATTTTCCTTCTGTTCTTATTCAGTTATAATACCCATCTTTGTATAGATTATAGAAGCAATGTGGAAAAGCAGTACCCTTCAAGGATGACTACCTGCTAGCAAAGAGAACCCAATCTTAAACTCACCACACAGGTTGCAAACGGATTGTAGAATCTTCTTAAGATCCATCAATAACTAAGTAGTGCAAGAACCTGTCCAGCTACTATAAGATAGAATTTGATTGTGCAATCCACTTTAGAGTTACCAAAATAAGAACCTACCTAATCTATCCAAAGATTGTATGGTCAGATTGTAATGTGTACTGTGACCCTAAAACCTGGTCTCAATAGAATAATAAAAACATGCATAAATATAAAACTTAATGGAATATACCACCAGGTATTTCAAAGAGACATGAGTAGCTGCAGAGTTACTTATGACATATGCGCAGAGTTGGGGCTGGATTTTTCCCTAGGAGGCTTAGGCCATGGCCAAGCCACTGGGGGAAGCACTCCCCCCTCCCCAGCACTCCTGCCTTTGTTACTTCTATGCTCATAAAGCCTATAAATAATTGGAAGACATACTTTAAAAAGGCATAATTAGTGCGGTGCTACTGCCAATAGCTCGGCATACACTGGTACACTTTTTTTTGGTGTGTTGTGTGAGTTTATTTTTTTTTTATTATGGATGTGAACGTGTAGCTATACAGTATATTATAGCTCATAACAAGCCATTAGTAAAAAAAAAACAAAAAAAAAAAAAACACACGATCTTGCCAAAAGTATTGAGACGCCTGCCTTTACACACACATGAACTTTAATGGCATTCCAGTCTTAGTCTGTAGGGTTCAATATTGAGTTGGCCCACCCTTTGCAGCTATAACAGCTTCAAATCTTCTGGGAAGGCTGTCCACGGGAATGTTTGACCATTCTTCCACTTCGTGGCTGAGCTGCTCTTGTTCCCAGTTGCTTCCACTTTGTTATAATACCACAAACAGTCACCGTGGGATATTTAGTAGCAAGGAAATTTCACGGATGGACTTATTGCCCAGGTGGCAACCTATCACGGTACCACGCGAGAATTCACTGAGCCCCTATGAGTGACCCATTCTTTCACAAATGTTTGTAGAAGCAGTCTGCAAGTCTAAGTGCCTGATTTCATACACCTGTGGCCATGAAGGCGATTGGAACACCTGAATCCAATGATTTGGAGGGGTGTCTCAATAATAAAAATAGCTATATCAATTTATTGTAACTAAATATATATAATAAACCTTTGTTCCCACCAGCATGTTGCAGTAATGTGCAGGTCACTTATGGGTCCTGGTGTCATTGTTCCCAGCCCCCTACCATACGTCAGTGGCACCTATACACACACACAAATGTTAATTGCACTTGATGGCATGCTGGAGGGAGAGCAATAATTCTGGATGCAATATTCATCGTTAATTCTAAACTAATGACTTATAGGAGCCCATGAAAAATATAGAATACTGACGTTTGTTGTGGTTTCACAGGTACATAGATACCAAACATTTCAAATTGTAAAATTCTATTTACTCGGCGCAAAATTGTCTTTTATATTTTGCCAAAAAAAATTATTTATTGAGCCAGCATGCTCTAAAATTAATTTTAGTGTATTTTTTTTTTATGAAATTTTGTTTCCTAAACCACTGCACTAATATCATGCAAGATATAGTTTAAAATTACCACAATTTTATTCTCTAGGGTGTCTGCTTTCAGAAAATATATAATATTTTGGGAGTTTTATGTAATCTGCACGCCTAAAATGCATTTTTTATGTCATTATATAATCAAAACACAGCTCTGGCAGTGAAAGGGTTAAAGTGCAAACATCTTTTATAAAGTGCTATAAACCACAGCTTATAAAAACAGAAATATCCACACTTTGAAGAACTATGTTTTCTGCACTGTCCTATGAAACACTAATAGCAACCAAAGTGCAGCAGTGCTTTTAAGGGTGGATCTTGAAGCACTGCTACTCTTCAGTTGCTGTTGGAGATATCCACAGGTAACAGTTCTGGTTGTATGTCAGTATGGTACAGATTCGGTCTGTGGACATACTCCTGCCTTTGTCAGTACAGTATTGATTGCATTTCTTCTGGCATGATTTTCTCAGGATGGTACGGACTGGGTTGCAGCTGACTTAGGGTCCTTTCACATAGGTGTTCCATATGCCCATTTTTCATCTGCCTGTTTACAGATGAAAAATGGACACCCATGTATTTCGATGGATTAGCGCAGTGGTCTTCAAACTGCGTCCCGGGGGCCAGATTTGCTTACTTTTATCTGGCCCTCAGGGCACCATTTCATTTACCGCCACCAATAATGGGCCATAGTTCCTCCCAATGACACCAGTGATAGGGCACAGTTCCTCCCATTGACACCAACAATGGGGCCCAATGGCATAAAAGATGGGGCACAAATCCTCCCAATGACACTAATGCTGGGGCACAATTCTTTCCAATGAAGCTAGTGATGGGGCCCAATTCCTCCCAATCACATCAACGATGGGGCCCAATTCCTCCCAATCACATCAACGATGGGGCCCAATTCCTCCCAAACACATCAACGATGGGGCCCAATTCCTCCCAAACACATCAACGATGGGGCCCAATTCCTCCCAAACACATCAACGATGGGGCCCAATTCCTCCAATCACATCAACGATGGGGCCCAATTCCTCCCAATCACATCGATGGGGCACAAATTCCTCCCAATGACACCAACGATGGGGCACAATTCCTCCCAATGACACCAACGATGGGGCACAGTTCCTCCCAATGACACCAACGAGGGGCACAGTTCCTCCCAATGACACCAACGATGGGGCACTGTTCCTCCCAATGACACCAACGATGGGGCACTGTTCCTCCCAATGACACCAACGATGGGGCACTGTTCCTCCCAATGACACCAACGATGGGGCACTGTTCCCCAATGACACCAACGATGGGGCACTGTTCCTCCCAATGACACCAACGATGGGGCACTGTTCCTACCAATGACACCAACGATGGGGCACTGTTCCTACCAATGACACCAACGATGGGGCACTGTTCCTACCAATGATACAAACAATGGGGTACAGTTCCTGCCAATGACACCAATGATAGGGCACTATTCCTACCAATGACATCAACAATGGGGCCAAAATTATTCCAACTGATGCTGGGACATTTTCTACTCCCTATGGTCACGGTGCGGCCCTTCTAAAGTCTTGACAGTAAACTGGCCCATTGTTTAAAAAGTTTGGAGACCCCTGGACTAGCGGATGTAAACGGATAATCATCTGTTTGTATCCGTTAAAGTCTGCATTGTTAACATCTGTTATTTTGAACGGAAGAAAACCCTATTTTTCATCAAAAACTGATGTAAATTGATATGATATGAAAAGAGAGGTAAAAAGTGAAGTCTTGATCAGTTTAGCTCCAATTTTGGGGGAAAAAAAAGGGGGGGGGGGGGGACTGAACTGATGAAGATAGAGAGAAAACGAAATTTTATTATACAAAGATAACCCAACAAATACAGAATGCAGTTTTTTAAATGAGGATTTCATTAAAAGGGAAAAGAGTTGTCCAAACCTGCCTAATCCTACATGAAAAAGTAATTGCTCCCTAAACCCCCTGCAGCATAACCCAAATGTGTTTGAACTTGAACCTGTCATGGACATTCTCTTTCAGGACTTTCTGGTAGAGCGCAGAATTTATGGTTCCATCAGGCCAAAGAATATTTGCCCCAAAGTCTTAGGGATAGTCGAGATTTTTTTTGGCAAATGTGAGACAAACCTTTGTGTTCTTTTTATTCAACAGTGGGTTTCACCTTGGAACTCTCCCATGGATGCTATTTTTGCCCAGTCTCTCTTATTGTTGAATCATGAACACAGCCTAAAAGTGATTCTAAAGACTAACTTTTTTTTTTTTGTTTTTTTTTTTTTTTTAAATAACAAACATGTCTATACTTACTTGCTGTGTGCAGTGGTTTTGCACAGAGCAGCCTGGATCTTCCTCTTCTGGGATCCCCCACCAGTGCTCCTGGCCCCTCCCTCCTGTTGGGTGCCCCCATAGCAAGTAGCTTGCTATAGGGGCACCCACTGCTCCGTGTGTCTATTCTCACATGGAGACGCGGCTCAACCCCGCCCCCTCTCTCCTCACTGGTTGTGATTGACAGCAGGGGGAGCCAATGCTGTCTCAGCCAAAGAGGAGATAGCCAACACTCCAGTGCACATAGCTGGATCGAGATGAGGTTTAGGCGATTATTCGGGGGGCTGCTGCACACAGAGTTTTTTACCTTCATGCATAGAATGGCCTGCAGTTCTTTAGATGTTGCTCTAGGTTTTTGTGACCTCCTAGAGTCGCTGTTGTGCTCTTGGAGTCATTTTGGTAGGCAGGCTACTCCTGGAAAGGTTCACAACTGTTCCAATTTATGCCCATTTGTGGATAATGACTCTCACCGTAGTTCACTGGAGTCCCAAAGTCTTAGAAATGGCTTTGTAACCCTTTCAAGACTGATACATGTCAATTACTTTGTTTCCCATCAGTTGTTGAATTTATTTAGATTGCAGCATGTTGTGTTGCTTTTTTATGTCTTTTAGCATGCTTCACTTTTTCAGACAGCTTCTATTTAAGGGATTTCTTGATTTAACAGGTGTGGCAGTACTCTGGCCTGGGTGTGGCAAGTGAAACATAACTCAGCTTTCCAAAACTGTGGTCAATCACGGATCATTCATGATTTTTCTCATAGGGCTAGGAATGTTTGGACAGCTTTGTCCCTTAATAAATGAAATAATCACTTAAAACTGCATTTTGTATTTACTCTGGTTATCTATGTGTAATATTAAAACGTGTTTGATGATCTGAATCATTAAAGTGTGATAACCATGCAAAAAAATAATAAATCAGCAAAGGCCAATGAGAAGCAAGAGAGCAGAGGCAGCCTTGGCTCACGTGTACTTCACTGGATCGAGATCGGGCTCAGGAATGTATTTAGGGAGGACTGCGGGGGAAGATGCATGCAGAAGGTTTTTTACCTTGCTGTATAGAATGCAGTAAGGCAAGAAACCTTCTGCCCTTACAACCACTTTAAAGGGATTGTAAACCCTTAGTTTTTGTTTTCATAACAAACATATCATACTTGCCTGCTCTGTGCAATAGTTGTGCACAGAGCAGCCCCAATCCTCCTCTTCTCAGGTCCCCTGCCAGTGCTCCTGAATCCCCCTCCCTGCGGAGTGCCTCCAGAGCAAGCTGCTTGCTTTTGGGGTACTCATGCGTGCTCATTGACACACAGAGCACAGCTTGGCCCAACTTTCTCCTCACTGGCTGTGATTGACAGGAGCTGGAGCCAATGGCAGAGAATGCATTCGGGTTAAAAACCTTCAGCCTTTAGAATCATTTTGTCTAACAGAAGCTTACTGACAGCACATCTTATAAGCAATGTATTAGATAATATACATTATGCAAGGATAGCTCTGGTAAATGATTTGCTGGTTTTAGCTATATCTATGAAATTCAGATTAGGACCAGTGCACCAGAAAGGTAAATAATTTTAGGGTAACTGTTAAATTAAAAAATGTTTGTTAATGAGAGTGAATAGGATAACTGGCATTATTCACAACACAACAAATGCATGCTAATGAAGCACAAAGAGTACTATGAACACAGTGCAGTAACTAGCAACCAGATTTTAGATTAAGGAAGTCATGTTAGGCTGACCAAGCCACTTTTCAGCTGGTTCCTGATATATTGGATGAATTTTGCTTCATAGTTGGCCCTGTCAGCCACCTCTAACCTGATGCCTTTCAACTGAAGAAAAATCAAAACAGCCAGGCAGAAAATGGTCAGCCGTATGCATTCAGATACAGCCATTGTTTGGGTATTCTGACAGCTGCCACTGGCCTGTCATTACATTATTATACTTTATGTATATAACAGATGAGCAAACACATTGAATACATACCTCCATATTCTAAACAGCTGGGAACCTCCCGCACAGCCAACAAAGAAGTTAACAGCGAACAGAGACCAGTTTTTCGGTATAATCACTAAAGAATATCGTGACCATATCAGTCCTGTCAAAACATTTTAAAAATATACAGAAAAATGTCAGTATGAAGAAACTAAATCTTTACACATCGGCATGAAACACATTCTCATAAGTGCAAATGATTCTTTAAGTTGATATGATTTATAACAGTTTTACAAAAGTAACTTGTTTTAGGAAGCAAGAAAATTAAACAACTTAATTGTCACAACTGCCCCCCCCCCCCTTCTCTACCACCTTACTTCCTGTTCTAGCCATCTTTTTCTGTCTTATTCTTTCCTATTAGATATATAGTGACCTTTGCTGTGTCATTTTACCATTGATTAAAGCAATTAATCACTTGCCTACCTCTAAACTAATACAAAGTAGGTAGGATAGACCTAGAATTCTGGAAAGCTTTAAAAAGGTGCTCTGTTTACTACTTGTACACATGCCCAATGCTAACTGAACTGTCAATAGACAGTGCAGATCCTAGGCAAAATGTACAGAACCATTAAGAATGGCTCTATGCCTTGTGATCATCGAAAGCCAAATCACAGCAATCACAATATAGAACACTACTATGCTTTACATTTAAAAAGAGTCCTCCTCTACCTCCCACAATGGAGGAAGAGAAGGATGGAGTATTTCCTAACTTAAGTAATCTTAAGGAGATAGGCAGCAACAGATTTAAAGCAGTATTAAACCACGACCTTTAAAAAAAAAAAAAAAAAAACCCTGCAAGACAATATCATAATGTGCTAGTATGCATCACATACTAGCACATTATATGAAACTTACCTTATAACTAAGCCCTCCAGCGGCACTCTGTCACCATTGACAGGGCTCAGTGATTCTTCGGCTTCCCATTTTCACCCAGTCCTTCTTCCGGGTTCGAGGGCTCCGGCGGCTTAAATGGTCAAGCCGCGATGAGGTCACTCATGCACGGGAATCACTTTTTACGGCACACAGCCGTAAGGAATAGCGTGTGGGCATGCCGGTCCTTCAAAGCACATGCGCTGGTGCTCCTTTACAAGTAAATATCTCCTAAACGGTGCACGTTTAGGACATCATTTACAGCACCTACACGTAAGCCTCATTACAAATAAAAAAAAGCTTGTAGGTACAGGTAAAAAAAAAACTGACTTTAATACCACTTTAAGGTGTTGGTGGTTTCTGTCCTGTCTCTGTATGCCTGTACATTAATCCCATTACATTCTCCTTCCTTTGTGCATGGCCTGTACATTAACGATGTACTGTATCCTATGTACCATTACCACTTAAAAGAGAGGGCTGTCTAAACAAAATAAAAAAAAAAAACCCACACACTTCTTACCGGATACACGGTTTTCAAAAAATAAACTCTGCTCTGGTTCTATTGTAGGCTGACAAATTAATAATTACTGTACCTAACAAGCTAAAAATAAACAGCACAGCAGACGCACAATGCAGCCTGAGGGTAGCAGTGTTCATCTGCAGACTGAAGGCTTTTGCTTTTTACAGTAAAGCCTCCAGGCTGCATGTGATCACCATGGAAAGGAATGGGGTTTAAGAAAACCATGCACATGAATGTCTCATTTTAAAGTCACCAGGGAGAGGCATCCATTTGCTGGCAATAATATTATTATTAACAATAAAACGTCATTTACCTGTAGCCGTTAGTACACCAGACTGGGCAGGACTCAATTTTTCTGCAGGTCTTGTCATGTCCGCTAATCCAGCAATCACCAGCCCCTAAAAGTCAGATGGGATAAAAACATGCAATGTGAGTAGAACAATTACATTTAGTGAAAACTTCCAAATAGCACTTTTTAAGGTAAAACAAGAAAAGGGAAAAGCGCCTCCAAGTGTAGTATAATATGGATGTGACAGACCTAACCAGGACAGATGCTCTCTCGAGGGGACTAGGGGCTACCCTTCTACCCACTGATTATGACCCATGTAGAGAACAGATCATTCTGTAATGATGGACAACAACATGATGAGCACGACTTGGATTAATTTGGAGTAAAGACAATACAGCTTCCCTTCTAAAGTGGATGAAGGGTGTAATATTAAATTTATACAAGTTAATGGTCAGAGGAAATATGGGACCTTCCTGCAGACTGGGCTGGAGAACCTCCTCCGCTTGGGAAAGAAATATTTATCAACAATCTCCCTCAAGAAATCTATGAAGATAGATGAATTCCACTTCGGGTCTGTCACAGTGGAATATTCTATTAGAAATCCAAAATGATCACTCACATGTTAAAAAGAATACAGGCTCGTTTCATTGAGGACATCGGCTGTATGGAGCGCCAACCTGTTCTCAATCTTGAGAAATGAGTGCAAATGCCCGAACTTGGCATTGTGCATCCTTCCTTTTGATGACATCATCCTTTTGGCATTGCGATCCACACTGCGCTCCACGGAATCTGTCTCCACCATGACTTTGGAATGAGAGTGGCCGGCTACCTCCTCCTCATCCATGGTTGTTGTGAACAGCTAGCACTCAATGCAACGGATGTCCATCATGTTATGAGCCTCTTAACATGCAAGTGACCATTTTGGATTTTTAATAAAATATTCCATGTTAAACTACACTTAGAGGGCCTTTTCTCTCTTCTTGTTGACCTTTTTATCTCACACAGAGTTGACTTCTGCTTTTGGATCAGCTTGCCTTAAGTGGACCTTAGTGGATTAGAGTTGAATCTTTTGAACCTACTTTTGGACACTTTAGAATTTTCTTATGGACCTTTTCTGAATTATTAGACATTGCCTGAGATTTGTGCTCACCCACATGCATCTACTGCGATACTCTTTACCAGATTTAGCACTTTTTAAAGCACTGTTTGAGTATCTAGTTACTGTCAAATCAACGACAATGAAACCTTTTAGAGGGGGGAAAAAAAAAAAAAAAAAAAAAAACAAAAAAAACTTGCACATACATGTGGCAGGCTACAGTGTCCCACCATTGTCAACACTGCTAGGTGTGGCAAAGGCTCTAGTACTTTAGAGTAGTGCTGAAACTTGCCTGCTCCTTTTCACCTCACACTCATTCCTGTGGGCCACTTAATACAGAATAGGGAAGGGTTAAACCCCTGTTTTTTTTCATGTGTTCCCTTTGGAGAAGTTTCAGCTTGAATTTCAAATAGTCATAATGTTTTCATTCAGTAATTTACACATCTGGCATGATTTGGAGGTGATCAAATTGGAGGTGCCTCCTGATTCCAATCTCAAGGGGATATTTAAATTGGCTAGGTTGTATTTCCTCAAAGGACCAATACACTAAGGGATAGAGAAGACCGAGCAGGCCAGGATAAACATTTCAGTTGACTGGCCAGGTGTTCCACTGAACTCCCTGCACAGAAACAGTTTGAAATGGCATGTGCCTCATTAACCAAATAGATAGACTTGTTTCAGGTCATCCCCCCTCTGCTTGTGCAGTGATTACACTACATGAGCAAGCCTGCAAGGTTAACAACCCTCCTCCGTCCTGTGAGCTGAATGGATTGCAGGGATGGGCAGAGAGATCAAAACATGGAGCTCCAGCTCTCTGTTCTCTGTCACAGCCAAACAACAGAGAACTGATAGCTCCTAAAAGGCTTGCACCATTTTGTTAATTAGGAGCAGCATCTGCTCCATTTTTATACTTAGAAGAATGGTGCAAGCATTATGCTTGCACCACTCTTTGCGGTTAATTACACCCACACTTTCTAGAATACTTGAATTTGTTACCCTTTGTCAAAATATCATAACGCTTCAGGTTAATATGTCTTTTCGGTCATTGACCATGATAGATTAAACCATGTGATCAATAAAGGCAAGGCAATGTGGCATTCTAGATGTTTAAATACGATTGTCTTTATTATTTTGACATAAAAGATCAGATCTAAAAAAAAAAAAAAAAAAACACAACACACCCATAATTATTCTGGTAAAATATTTATATGTGCACATGTCATACTACAGGTATCTGGATGGGATGGTCAACAGCATAATCTACCTGCAAATGTACCTGACCTTCATTATTCAATCCCCAGCCCTGAGACCCTTCTGAGGTTAAAGATCATTCAAAGTAAAAATGATCCCCCTTTCAGCCCTTTTTTTACCTTCTAAAACATGTTTCACTGACTTAAATCCACCGTCTGAGTCTGTTAACGGTGAAGTTTCTGGGTGCGGGGAATAGTAATCCTGTAATATAAATGTGCCAAGCTGGCTGGTCCCCTTTTGCAGATGTTAACACAGAGAAGGGCAGTAGGCCAGGTAACATTTTGGACCTCGCCTCTGGAACGCAACAGAGAGCAGACTTGGTACTGGAGTGTCCCATGACCACATATTTAGGGATGTAAAGGCCATTTGATTCTTTTTCCCAATGCTAGTGATTAGTTAGAGGAGGATGGGGGGGGGAGGGGGGGCTTAGGAGAAGCCTAGAGTTTAGCTATATGCTGATAGAAACTTTGATGGTTTCCATTTGCATAATATGCACACCCCTGCTCTCACATTTGCAAGCCTTCCAATTCATTCAAGCCCTGGGCATTGCTGAGTGGGAGTATACATGTTCACCACCAGCGATAGTGAAATAGGGTGGTGTACTGGGTGGTGCTATAGAGGAAGATGCAAAAGGAAAGGAGTATTTATGACAATTTATGCTGACAGCAGTCTCATCCAGCTGCCTCTTTAGTGCACCACACATGAACAGTCATTAAATTGCATGCAATGGCAATTTTTTTTTTTTAAACCTCATGCTCTGGTGACTTCGGCTTACAGTACATATTTTATTGGACAAAACTAACCAGAATTAAACAGACCCTTATCATAAATTCAACTAGCGAGGTATGGTTCTCCAGAATTTTATTTCTTCTTTCTGCTGGTCATCTTGTAAAATGCTGACACACTTGTTGCATGATCTCAGTTAAAGAATCAGCTGCTGATAAGCTGCCTCTGATTGAACGTTACCTTTCCCAAGTCCCTAAAGCCCCGTATACACGATGAGAATATCGGACGAACAATTGCCCGTTTTTTTTCCGCCTACTAGTCTCACATTGAAAGTGAAAAGGTTATTAAAAGATATGAAAATTCTCCTGAAAGAAAAGAATTTTGAAAGCGATGTCATGTATTGTATTTTCGGATGACTACTCTACTGATTAAATGAAAATCGTGCGATCTTGTATCGTACGAGAAAGATTTTTGCGCTTGTTCCTTTGAATATTGTCGCACAAAGTGTCGTGATCGGCTCTTGAAAGCTGTGTACTAACAATCCGATTATCGGACCTCGTATGAAAATTTTCGTACAATATTCTTGTAGTGTGTACGGAGCATTAGTCAGATCATGTAACCAATGTTCCAGCATTTAAATAATCTGTGTATTGACAACCTTCCTTTTGTCTTCATTACAGAAAAATGTTTTCTTGCTAGTTATTAGACAGACAGAATAATAAAGTGGTAATATACAGTTCAGAGACTTACCCATTTCATTATAGGAGCCCAGAAAAACACAGTCTTGGGTCCTAGAAAAAAAAAAAAAGAAAAAAGGGGGGGGGGGGTCAGTATGAGTCTGCCAATCTATAGTAAATCAAATTTCTCATAAAGTGCAATTCCACTTTTGCTGTCAAATTTTAGAAACCCCCACTATGTTTTTGTGTTCCCATTCACACAGCATACCTACAAATTATATTATTTCTTTTCTTTCTAGGCTCTTTCTTAACAGGGCATAGAAGCAGAAAGCTATGTCGAAATTGTGAGCAAATAAAAAGGTATGCAGCATTTTTTTTTAATTAGGCTATGTGAATGGTAATATGTAACCAATTCAGAGTTGGTATTACCCCAATCTGGCTGCATAAGTGAAAATTACACTTTAACCACTTCCTGTCCGGACACTTTTACCCCCTTCCTGACCAGGGCGATTTTCAGCTTTCAGCGCTATCACACTTTGAATGACAATTGCTCGGTCATGCAATACTGTACCCATATGAATTTTTTACCATGTTTTTGAGACAGATAAAGCTTTATTTTGGTGGTATTTATTCACCGCTGGGATTTTTTTTTTTTTTTGCTATGTAAACCATGGTGACACTGCACTAGTTGTGGGGGGTGATGATTTTTTTTTTTTTTTTTTTTTTTTACAGTGATTGCTTTTACACCCATATAGGATGTAAAAGCAATCATTTCTCTTTCTCTCTGTCTGCATTCTTGCAGCCATTGAGAAATACTGAGTGAGCTGTGATTGATCACAGCTTGTCACATGGTACAAGGCTGTTGTGAATAGCCTTGTACCATGTGACCTCTGTGATCATTCACAGATTTCACACGTAGTAAGCAATGATGTCACAAGTGACATCTTGCTTACTACTTTGCATGTGATCACTGATTGGCCAATCAGTGATCACATGATCGAGACCTCGTACAGAGGTCCCGTCCAACGATCGGTGTTTCACTGTGTCCGCAGGACACAGCGGGCACCGAATCGCGGTGCTGCGCAGTCCCAGGGAGCGCGCACAGCTAGAAAAGGCAGGTGCCGTTTATGAACGGAAACCTGCCCCTGCAGTGCCACCGCCCTGCCATTTATAAACAGCAGGCGGACAGCAAGAGGTTAAAGATGGAACATTTATAGCAAGCTACAACAATAACAGTTATCTAGTTGCAAGCTGCTACAATACAATACAATTTTTTATAGTACAAGTCTCGAATAGCTTTGTCTGTAAGCTTAGTAAGCATGCAACAAAACTTTGCAGTCTGATTAACCTCTTCACATCTGGGGTAATTTTTAATGAGTATAATATACAGTATGTTGATGTTTTGTACAGTTTACATTCAACTGCTAGTAACTTTTTGAGCTGCTTTATATATAAAAAAAAAACAAACAAAATTAACCCCTTCCCGCTGGCACCCTCCCGGCCCTTTAAGAGTTTCAGGCGCCGGGAGGCGGGGCAAAGTTTAGGGATCATGTGACCGCCGTGACGCGTCGTCATGGTGGTCACATGATCGGGAAAGGTCCTGATCAAAAGAGCGGACCAAGACCTTTCCATGAGTACCGCACGTGTGCTGGGAGCGCGCATGGCGTACGCTCTCAGCTAATAAGTTTTTTGTTACATGAACGCAAATGTGCGGTCGCTCTGCATCTAGGCCCAGATGCTGAGAGGCCACACATTTGTGTGCGGCTGGCGTAAAGGGGTTAAATTTTCCTGAGGACAGATATTGCCATCATTTGAGAACATTTTAATAAATATTTTAAATTTATGTTAGAGGAAAATTATTACAATTAACAAAATTAAGCCTTTTTTTTTTTTTTATGTTTTTTTTTTGTCAATCCTTATATACAGTATATTAACCAGATACTACTATTCAGATGTTATCCTGTTAGTAACCTTCTAGCCACTTAAAGCAGAACTTCATTGTCTCAATTAACATTGATCATTGTAATCCTTATGCTGTTAGCATTAGTACATAGATAGGAAAGTATTTTAGATTTGTTTTAAACTTTCTTTTCACATTTCTTCAGTTACTTTGTGGTTGCCATGCCTCGACAAATGATGTCATACATCCTAGGAGTCTTCAGGAGGGGTTTGCTGAGCTAAGCACACCCTAATGCTTGTATGCAGGAAGTAAATGCTACATGAATCATCTGCCCTTACCCAAGATGGCCACAGCCAGAAATGCTAGGGGGTGTTTTTCAAAAGGATTTCTCAGCAAAATAAAGCATGGAGACATGGATGGATGGCCGAGTTTGCTTTGAATAACAAAAATTAATTAAATAGCATTTTTTGGTTTGTGGTGCCCAGATACAGTGTAGTTCCGTTTTAAGGACAAGGCCTTTTCAGGCATTTTATGTTTACATGTAACAATCTTTTTTGCTATTAAACTACTTAGAACCCCCAAACATTACATATTTTTAAAGCAGAGGCTCTAGTGAATAAATTGGAGGGTTTTGCAAATTTTTAGGTCACACAGTATTTGCGCAGCGGTTTTGCAAATGCAATTTTTTGGGAACAAAAATTTATTTAAAATGAATAACATCACAATACACTGAGTAAATAGTAGCGATGCACTGATATATCATCCACCAAAAGTTAATCGGCATTTTGCAATAAAGGGGAAAAAAAAAGAGCAAATAATAACTGACATCAATGCAAAATCGTATCCCATTGACTTCAATGCAAAAACGCCTCCAAGCTTTTTAATTTTATATACAGCGCCCTAAAAAAGTATTCATACCCCTTGAAATTTTCCACATTTTGTCATGTTACAACCAAAAACGTAAATGTATTTTATTGGGATTTCATGTGATTACCAAGTGGCACATAATTGTGAAGTGGATGGAAAATGGTTTTCAAAATTTTTTACAAATAAATTTCTGAAAAGTGTGGCGTTCATTTGTATTCAGCCCCCGAGTCAATACTTTGTAGAACCACCTTTCGCTGCAATTACAGCTGCAAGTCTTTTTGGGGATGACTCTACCAGCTTTGCACATCTAGAGATTTAAATTTTTGCCCATTCTTCTTTGCAAAATAGCTCAAGCTCTGTCAGATTGGATGGAGAGCATCCGTGAACAGCAAATTTCAACTGCTGCCACAAATTCTCAATTGGATTTAGGTCTGGGCTTTGATTGGGCCATTCTAACACATGGTCACCAAGTACGCAACTGGTCAGCAAGTGGTTAGGGATACCTGTATGCTTTTTATTCCGATTTTGGATTTAAAATAGGAAATCATATTTCAATTTACGCATGGTCTCTGGGGGGGTGGAGGGGATTAGTTACGGTGTTTAAAAAAAAAAAAAAATAAAAAAAAAAAAAAAAAAAAAAGGACACCAAACACACATTTCTGTTCACACTTGTTAAAAAAGTATCCACAGAAAAACAATGAAACACATAGGGGTCTATTTATTAAAAGAAAAAAAAAAAAAAAAACAAAACTTGCTTTGGTAACGTCCATGTAAACAGTCTATAAAACCCAGTGACTTTCTCCAGGTCTATCTGAATTGTGGAAAGTTCCCTAGCTGCCCATGTAGCGCCAGGTTTAATTTCTATATACCATTTTCACAGAAAAACTAAGTTGGCAAAAAGTCAGTGGGACAGAAATCATAAAACAAACAGGATATATTGGCAGAGACTTCACAACAGCCAGGCTGAGACTCAGAAGAGAGTGCACTACAGATGTTCACCAGATGCATAAAATTTTGAGTAAACAACATCTGTTAACCACTTCCCTACAGCTCTATAGCCAAATGACGGCTACAGCGTGGTCCTCCAATTCACGCCCCCAACGCTGTCTGTGATCACTGTGTCGTTTGGACACAGCTGATCACATGACATGCTAAAAGGACAATCACAGCAGCCTTTTACCATGTGATCAGCTGTGTCCAATCACTGCTGGCCACCATGTAAATACACTTGCCGGTTATCAGCAGTACTTTCCTCACGCTGTCACAGCATAAGGAAAGTACTGCCTATAACTGACAACTGTCAAAGCAGACATCTGTACTGATAATCAGGGCACCAATTATCAGTGCAGTCCTATAAGTGCCCAACAGTGCTGCTCATTAGTGCCCAGTAATGCTGCCCATCAGTGCCGCCTGTCTGTGTCCTTCAGTGCTACCTATTCTTTCCACATCATTAGTGCCTCTTTATCAATGCCCATCAGTGCCGCCTCGTCTACACACATCAGTGAAGGACAAAAATTACCTGTTTGCAAAATTGTATAATAGAAGAAAATGCTCTTTTTTTTGCTTATAGTGCAAAATAATAATAATAATAATAATAATAATAAAAAAAAAACAATGGTAATTAAATACCAGCAAAAGAAAACTATTTGTGTAAAAACAGGATAAAAATTTCATATGAGTACAATGTTGCATGACCGCACAATTGTCAAAGTGCAACAGCGCTGAAAGCTGAAAATTGGCCTGCGCAGGAAGGGGGTAAAAGTGCTCTGTAGGCAAGTGGTTGACCAACTCTGAATGGCAATCATTTTAGAAACTCAAATTAATACAGCTCTGTATTTATCAATAAAGGGTGTTTTATTATTAAAGTATTTTAAGTACTGCCATCTGACTAGGCATAAGCCTCTAGCAAGCCACTGTACAGCAGAGCTCAGACTGGGAGAGGGGCACAAGGTGCCAATCGGAGCTGCAGTGGTGGACATTCTGATAGAAGCAGTGTGAGGAGCTCAGTCTGCTGCCTTGTATTTTATTGTCCACTCACAGGCTGGGGGAGGAAGAAGATCTAAATAAGTGCGGCAGAGAAAAATCAATCATCGCTGTGTCACATATTTCACAGAGCCTGCCTTCTAAAACCAGTGTTTCTCAATCTTTTTTCAGTCAAGGAACCCTTTACACCGGTCTTGGGCACACACCAGTCTAAGGCCTTGCTAGAGGCTTACTCCTAGTCTGATGGCAGTACTTAAAATGCTTTAATAATAAAACACCCTTTACTGATAATTATGGAGCTGTATTCAACACAGCCCTTGCATGGGTATATGCTTATAAACCAGTGTTTCTCAATCTTTTTTTC